TGACTGCCAGCAGTAATGCTGGCGGAAATCCATCCCTGAATAGCACTTAGTCTTATATACTGCTTCACAGTGCTTTACAGCCCTCTCTAAGTGGTTTACATAGTCAGTATATTTCCCCCAAAACAATCTGGATCCTTGTTTTACCGAACTCGGAAGGATGGAAGGCTGAGTCCATCTTCTGCTGAGAATTGTACTGCTGGCAGTCAGCAGAATTAGCCTGCAATACTGCATTCTAACCACTGTGCTACCATAGCTCTGATAAGAGCAAGGAATGGTCATAAGTCAACCTTTATCAATGTCATTGTAGCAATAGCAATAGCACTTAGGCTTATATACCACTTCACAGTGCTTTTCAGCCCTCTCTAAATGGTTTGCAGAGTCAGCATCTTTGCTCCCAACAATCTGGGTCCTTGTTTAATTGACTGAAGAGGTTGACATACTATTTGGAGACATCAGCTAATGTACTCCAGGTCAATTGAGTAATCTCTACATTCATTGATTCTTAAAGAGTTTCAATCTAATGATTGTTTCCCATCCCACCAGAAGTTACCAAATCATTAAACCCTAGATGCCTGGGATATCATTTGCATTAGGTATGCCATAATGATGCCAGTGTACACAGCAAAAGAGAATATATGGAAACTTAAATTTATATACTCTGCATGTTGCTCAGTGGTGAAATCTAATCCCACCCCCCGGTTTTCTGGGTATGCCTTGGTGGGGGTGGGGGTCATGTGACTGGGTGGGCATGGCCAGCTTTTTTCACTTTTAAAAGCATTTTTTTCTGTGCCAGTTTGGGTGAACCAGCAGGGGAAAAAATGCTTTAAAAAGTTTTTTTTTTAAAGCTTCCGGCGATCACGCGGCTCACAGCTCCTCAGAAGCTTTTTTTTTTTACTACCGGTTCACAGAATCAAGGACAATCGTTCCTACCAGTTCGGCTGAGCTGAGCCGAACCAGAAGGATTTCACCCCTGGTATAGCTTGTTCGGTTACTCAACTCTCACACCAAAACCAGCTGGAAATGAAAAAAGGAGAAGAAAAGAGCTGCAATGATATGCCACCAACAAGAGAAATGAGAGGCTGTCCATCCAAAAATGGTGGCATGTTTATCTTTAGGAAGCCACAGAAGGTGGCAACATCCCCTACCTTTTTAGTGGATTTCATGGAACAGACAAAACTGTCCCAGCCCACTCTTGCCTCCCAAAATGGAATAATAAACACCTGTCTCTACCTATTACAGAAGCCTCCAAAATGGTTTGCAAACATCTTAGTGGGTGCCCTTTATTTACAATTGGTTTCACCTTATTATTCAAGACTGAATGCTGCTCTGTTACTTATTAAAGCTTATCCAGGTTAGTCCAGGAATAGCTGATGCTGTCTATTATTTTTGGAAAAAGGTGGTGTCAGAAACACAGCTTTGCCCTTATAAACTGTGTGTAGCCTGGCAGTGAACTTGGTTCCTTAGCACCTTTTCCCCACAGGATCCAAGGAGAATAAGATTTCACAGTTATTTGGCAAAGAACCGAACACTGGTGAACTATACACAGGCTGGAAAATCCCACCCGTTCAAGCATGGCACAGAAACACTTCCTATCTGTGGCTGTAGTGCTGTTCTCTTGTTTGTGTAGAACTCCTCTTCTTAAATGCATCAGCACAATGATGGAAAGGTTACTAAAAAAGACTTTGTGCAGGAATAGTCATCTTCAGGTGGGAGAAAGGTATAATTTTGCAACAGCATTTGGGCCAATAACAGGGGTGCCAAACTCAAGACCCGTGGGGCAGACGGGGTGCTTAGATCTGGCTCAAGGGGCCAGCCTGGAAACAGCAAATGGAGCTTGGGGAGGCCGTGCGCCCCCTCCCCAGGCTCTGTTTTTGCTGGCAGAGGGCTATCAAAACAAGCTAAAAACCAAGCGAAAGGAGAAAGGTTTCCTCTTTTGCATTTGAGCATGCAAGAAGGGCCAGGAAAGGAGAAAGGGAAAAAAAGGAAAGACAAAGAAAAAGAAGGGAAGATGGGAAGAGAGCAAGGAAGGAA